GCTGCAGCCGCTCGGTCACCCCCGCACCCGGCGGATCCCTGCGGGGACAGGAGGGCCGCTCCACGGACGGGCCGCGACCCCACGTTCAGGGACAGGGAGCCGGGTGACCCGGCCGCAGCTCTGCACCTCAGCGTTTTATTGGCAGTCAGAGAAGTAACCGGTACCAGACGCGAGCTCGCCTCCGCCTAAAGACCGCGTCTCCCGCTAGGCGAGCAGATCTGCTGCCTTCCCCAGGACCCAACGCCCCGCCGCCCTCAGCGGCTGCCTTCCTTTGCACGCTGGGCACTCTGCTTTCCACGGCAAAGACCAAAACATAAAGCTGATCCAACATTCTCCAGCGCTTCAGGAAGCCATTTCTCTCCAAGTCAGCCCCATCACGTCCATACCCTTGTACCACCACAGCCTTCGGGAGATTCCCGACAGCACTGTTAGGAGATGAAGTGAGTCTGTGGGGTGATCTGTTCCAACTTGTGATCAGCTGGGTTTGCTGATGCTTCGTAATTGCAGATGGTGACTTCGTGGCGATGAGCCTGAATTAAGATTAAACACATTAGTCCAGAGGAGAGCAGAATTCAAGTCCCTCCTAAAACACCTCACTGGCAAGAGCCAAGCAGGTCCCTATCCTACAGAGTTTTCATCGCAGACCTTACATCCCCACCCTCACACTCCCCTCACCGCCAGAGCTCACCTTTAAGCTCTGATTTAAAGCCCTTTTTACGTTATTAGCCCAGTCTTGCTCATCTCTGCTCTCACCTACCTCTGTCCACTCTCCTTTCAGGCCTATATAAAAAATCTTCGTTGTCTCCGCTCCAAAGTTCTTCGGGAAGTGGATGGAGAGGTGGTAAACATTGGAGAAACGGGCAATTCTGAAAAAAAATACATTCTGAAACCGGAGCTGTGGGTACAAGCTGCCGCTCTGCCACCTCCTCACAGCCCGGTGCCACAGCCCCGCACCGTGTGTAGCTCCTACCCTTAATCAGAGTCAGACTTGGGAGGAAACGACTTGAGGGTGCTGGAGAAGCAGCTTCCCTCACGTTTGTAGTGAGCAGGCCAGCAACAAGCTGTCGCTGGGGGGAGCAGGGCACATGACAGTGGGATGATTCTGCACCCCAAGAATTCCTGGGCCATGGGTGCAGGCACCCCCCTGGCTCTGGGAAGGAGGTTTTCAGACCAGAGCTCTCAGCTGACAAGGGCAGGATAGAGCCAGGGAGGCAAATTCTACTCTGGGCAGCCTTGAGATGCAAGGGAAGGAACTGCCCTCTGTGAATCCTTTCTGAAAATTCAGCAGCATGCCAGCAGGCTGGATAGAGTGCAGCTCCCGCACTTGGGAGGAGCACAAGGCCCCCTGGGCGCGTGGGCCTGCATCATACTTGGTAGAGTACTCCAGCTCTCCTGTCGGATCCCGGTTCAGGCTGAACATCTGGTCTGGTTCCCTGGCTGCGTCATCAAAGGACATGTGAGGAATGTTCTTGAACCTGGGAAGAGAGGGAGGACACCCAGGAAGTTATTAACACGCAGGTCAGCTAATTGGTTTCTTCCCCATCCATTATCGCTATTGTCAAGATTCTTCTTGACAATAAGAAACTGGATTTGCTTTGTCTTCTAAGGGAGAAAACACTCATGCCACCACAAAGCATCATCACCTTCCAGAATACCCAAGACCCCGAAGAAATCACAAAGAAGAGCGAGGAACAAAGCTGGGCAGGTACAGATCTCAGCACGCTTGGGTAATGAAAAAACCCAGACCCCAGTACACTGCAGTCCAAGGAAAAGAGGGGCTCAAAAAAGGTGCAGATCCTTCCCCATGAGCAAGAACTGCAGAGCACTGAACACCCTTTCCAGTTTTTAAAAAAAAGCAGTGTTAGGAAGGATATCTCTCCCTTCAGGAGCTAATTAACAGGCCACGTGGCTCAGCACAGCCGGACCACTGCCAAGAGCGTTACCGACCTCACCTGGCTGCAGGACGCTCCGTCACTTGTGTCCCTCCCTCCCTCCCAGGCCCCAGAGTTTCCCCAAGAAGCGTAACCCCCCTCACCCCTTTGATCCTTCTGCTGCCTGCTGAGCCAGCAGCAGGTTGGTTTCTTCACAGCGCAGCCAGTGTCTCAACTGAACGTTCTCTTCTAATTAAAATCAGCGCCACATTTCTCTAGAGAAAAGGCAGCAAGCAGCCACGCTCGCCTCCGTACAAGTTATGGTTTCTTTTTCCTCCCGGGGCCCTGGGATGACAGAGGTGCTGGAGAGCAACGCTGCCCTCTCCCGCACTGCGCACCCTCGCTGGGCGCTTGGGCGCCCGACGGCGTGCAAATTGCTGTTCTCGTTAGCTACGAGTCAGTCAGTTCGGTTTAGGCTCCAGCCAAGTCAACGCTTAATTTACTTACAGTCTCATCTCTGCTGGATGCGTATCGTCATCTTCTCCCATCACGATCACGCCTTTTAATTTCACGTTGCCCGTAAACCTGCCGAGAGACACAGAAGCGGCGTTTTCCCCTCCGCTCCCTCCACATCAGCCCCGGCTGCAGCTGCACGCAGAGGTGCTGTGCTCCCAGGAACAGAACGGCGAGGAACAAACCCTGCCAGCAACCAGAACGATGCCGAAGGGGCTGGGGGGGGATGAACTTACGGGATGTTAAACAGAAGCTCCTCATCATCGTCGCTTTCCACGAACTGCGGGGAGGAGAGGAGCGGGTCAGGCGGGCCCCAGCTGCGCAGGTAGGCGGGCACCGCCCCGGGGCTGGGGAACA